TTACAACTAAAATCTTCAAATTTTAGTGATAATTTGAAAATCTTTTTAGCATCAAAGGTAATTGTCGGTTGTACATCGACAGAGACTCAACTCGGTTAAGCAAGGAGCTGACAACTTGTGACGGGTGATTATGTTCAGTGAAGTGGAGTGCCTGAAGTGATCAGTCGAACGAAAATCGATAACCGATAACTCGCATGGGGATGCTTTAACCTTTGTGGATGTCTTTGTGGATGTACAACCGACAAGTACACCCCATGTGAGTCTTCTCGGTTATCGACGTTCTGATGAATGACTGATCGACTGATCACTTCAGGCACTCCACTTCACTGAACATAATCACCCGTCACAAGTTGTCAGCTCCTTGCTTAACCGGGTTGAGTCTCTGTCGATGTATTGGGTTGTCCAGTTATGAATGCTCGTTTCTACGATTTTGTAAGTTTCTCGAGGTATCGAACAGTTGTCTATGAGTGCTATATATCATTCGAAAGCTGAAGATCTCCTCTACATTTTGATATAAAAAGCTTTGGAATTTGTTCAGCTTTTGGGCAAATTGATTGCACAAAGGGAGAGGTGACCAAAAAATGGAAGGGTGCCTTTTATGGTGTTTAATTGAACTGTTTAATTATTGGGATTATATGAGTGTTATATATCATTCGAAAGCTGAAGATCTCCTCTACATTTTGGTATAAAAAAGTTTTTGAATTCATTCAATTTTTGGGAAATATACTGCACAAAGGGAGAGGTCGTTTTCGAAAAAAAAAATTTCAGCTTAGCTATTCCTCAAGTTTTATGGTGTAAAATAATCGCCCAGAAAAGAAAAGAAAAGTAAAGATGCTCTGAAATTGTTATATTTTTAAAAAAGTTGTATTGATATATCTATTGGCTAAATATCAAACGGTTAACTCAGTTTGAGAGGAGCCAAAACTTGATCCAAAGGCACTCTTCCATTTTGTAGAAAAAAGGAACTGAATTGTAGAGAAAAGGAACTGAATTGTAGAGAAAAGGAACCAAATCTGTAGAGAAAAGGTCTTGATCCAAAGGCACTCTTCCATTTTTTGGCCACCTCTTCTTCTGTGCAGTTAATTTGCCCAAAAGCTGAACGAATTCAAAACTTTTTATATCAAAATGTAGAGGAGATCTTCAGCTTTCGAATAATACTCATATATATCTTTTTCTTGATTTCGATAACTTGAGAAATTTACAAAATAGTAAAAAACGCGCATTCATAACTGGACAACCCAATATAATCGACACAAAGACTCAACTCGGTTAAGCATCCCCATGCGAGTTATCGGTTATCGATTTTCGTTCGACTTGACCTTTAGGGGTATCGACTGATCACTTCAGACGAGCACTCTACTTCACTGAACATAATCACCCGTCACATGTTGTCAGCTCCTTGCTTAACCGGGTTGAGTCTTTGTCGATGTACAACCGACAAGTACCGGCATCAAATTATTGGCAAACGGTAAATCTTTTCATTTTAAACATTATAAAAAATTTAAAAGATATCTCAAAAACTTTTATTCAGTGTATTCGGAAAAATGTTAAATACTGTTCGACTTGTTCGACAATCGGCTAAAAAAGCAATGGACTGGCTGAATATACAAAGAACGGGCATCCGGCTCTTCGAATACACGTGTCACGGGAAAATTGCAAAAACTATAGCGCAAAAAATGACTTCAATCTCATCTACATACTTTTAAGCCTTTTAGTGAATTGGGGATTATGTAAATTCCCCGTCAAATGTAAAGATACTCAATTTACTCGTCGTTTAAAGAGGATTTCTCGTAGTTACTCGATTCAAAATGTCGATTAATTGAGTAAAGATTACTCAAATTCTACTCGAGTAATTACTTACTCGAGATAATTACTTACGATGACGCTTTTATCAGTGATAATATCAGTGATAATATCAGTGATATCAGTGACTTTTGTGTTAATACTCGCCGAGTGATACACCAGGACGCAAAGAGATGTAACCGAAAAGAATAGCTACAATTCATTAGGCCATATTATTCACACGAATAATATGGCCTTATGAAACAAGCATAACCATTAAGCTTTAAATGTAGGGAAGCTAATAAACTATTGGGTTGGGGAGAATGAGTCGGCGCCGAACTTTAAAGGGACTTTTTGCACACATAAAGCCTTCTTTAAACATACGTTTGGTTTCATCAAAAGGATCCACTATTTCTCTACAAAATCACTTTTGAGAGATTCCACAAAGCTTTTCTTTCGTGGAGTTTATGAACTTCCAAACGCAGCTGGCTAAAATGGCAAAGAGTCCGACTCATCATTTGAACAGTTTCTTTCACATAAACCTTTTTTGGTGTTTATATAAAAAAGATAGAGCACATTCAATTACTTAAGTTGCCAAATTTGCAGGAAGATCCCACCAATGGTTTTTTCTAGATCACAGTTTGTAGTTTTTGTGAAAAAATGGCTTTTTCTTGAGCGGAGGCGCTGTTTGAATTTTCTTTTAAATGTGATTTTGTAGAGAATTAGTTAACCATTCTACTCATATCAAACGCATATTATTTGACGAAGTCGAATAGAAGTTTTAGACATTTTTTTGATTTTCGGCGCCGACTCATTCTCCCCAACCCAATAGATTGATGGGATTAAACCTCTCGACTAAGATGAAGAGATCTTTGCCAGTTCGCAATTTGACCATTTTGCTATGGTCAAATTTTGATTTACCTGCTCAAAAAAGGACCTTGGGAAAGCTGAATTCAGTCGAAATTGAGCAAAATTGAATGCCGTTAAAGCAACCGTTAAAGCTGGATATCCTTGTAAGAAAAAAGCTTTGAGTTCAAAAATGGCATTGTCTCTTCTTGGTTTTACAAGATTTCGTGGACCGTAATCGACTGGGTAAACCTTTTTATGTTTTTTTATGTTTTTAGAGATAGGTGAAAACTGAACTCTTTTTGCATAAAAATCGAAACATTCAAATTTAGCTGATTGTTTTGAACTTTTTGACCTACTTTGAAGCTTTTAAACAAGGCCGATATGTGTGAATATTTGTGATTTGCTGTAATTTCTGTGATTTTAATGTGATTTGCGAATAAAAGTTCATTTAAAGTCTTCAGCTTTTCTCAAAAGTACTTTCGTTGTAAAGCGTTTGATTTACCTGCTCAAAAAAGGACCTTGGGAAAGCTGAATTCAGTCGAAATTGAGCAAAATTGAATGCCAAAAGAGCTCAATTCAGTTCTCAAAGAATTGTACGAATTCTTGAATTTCTTTCAATCAAAAGCGATTGTTCCTATAGATAAATTCTCATTTTTTTCTGAAAATCGTGATTTTTTTTCAAATTCAACCATAAAAAAGCTAATTTATTGCCCAATTGCACTTTTTATAGGGTGACCAAGAATTACCGCAACGTCGTATTATGTTATGAGCCCGATTTCACTTTTTGCTTACCTGTTTTTATGATTTTTGTGTATTTTTCTTATTTTATGATATGATTACTAACTTTCAATACATTAGTTGTTTTCAGGAATAGTGAAAGCGTCTCCACATCGACAATTGATCCTTGAGCTCAAGCGGCAGCGTGTTCAGGCGGCTGTTCAGGCGAGCGAGATCTCAAAGTGTCTGAATGCCCCAGAAGCTTCGTTTCTCGAACTATTTGACGTTATGAAACTAGCACAGTTTCTGATGGTTGTTTTCAGGAATAGTGAAAGCGTCTCCACATCGACAATCGATCCTTGAGCTCAAGCGGCAGCTTTTCAGGCGGCTGTTCAGGCGAACGAGATCTCAAAGCGTCTGAATGCCCCAGAAGCCTCGTGTCTCGAACCATTCAACGTTATGAAACTCTGGGCACAGTTTCTGATCGCCCTGGAAGAGGTGCAAAACGAACAGCGGTTACTCCGTCAAGAAAGTGCGCGATGTATACAAGTTTTGAAAAGATTTGATCACAAAATTTCTATGAATACATTCGTTTTATTCTTTGAAATCCATTTTAAACTTAAACTTTTGCTTTTTCTAAAGTTTCAACGTCAAAACTTTGACCAAATTGTTCGCATTTCGTTTCACTGTAACTAGAAAGTCGTTTGAATTTTTTAAAAAAACCGCTTTTCGCATTACCAGAACTCTTTTCTGCCCTTTCAGGGAAATTACAGGTTTTTTTTGTTTAAATACTCAATTAGATTTCACTGCCGGAAAGGCGAACTGAAATCAATTTGGAAAAGTTTTCATTTACAACCAAGAAAATCGTTTCTTTGATTTTTTTTTTATGTCTACAGTTTTGCTTTTAATCTAATGAACAGTTTGTTTTTCAAAATCAAAACTTTCAAAATCCTCCGTTGTAAACAGATTAGCCCTTTGTTTATAGACTTTTTCAAATTTAAACCGCGGTCAGGGCCCAGAAGTGGCTCATTCCTTTTGCAAATTCCCTTTGCTTCCAATGCCTCTTTATCAAATTCATTTCCCGTTAGAGCCGCTAGATTATGGAACTTGCTCCCAAACGACATACGAGAAATTCAGTCGCTTTTCATATTCAAGAAACGTATCGATGCTTTAGATCTAGTGGCTCTTTGCCGTAAGTAATTAGCTTCTTGATTCAGTATGTATTGTATGATTAAGTATCACTGTGCATTTCTCTATCATTTCTTTCACTTTATCGTTTGAATAAAGTATTATTATATTTAAATACTCAATTAGATTTCGCTGCCGGAAAGCCGAACTGAAATCAATTTGGAAAAGTTTTCATTTACAACCAAGAAAATGGTTTCTTTGATTTTTTTTTATGTCTACAGTTTTGCTTTTAATCTAATGAACAATTTGTTTTTGAAATTTAGCTTTAAATTTTGTTCGAATTCAATGAATTTTCTTGCATTTTATCACAGACTTTGTGGAAATAAGCATTTTTTTTTTCAAAATAAGCAAAATAAGCAAAATAAGCTAATAGTTTAGGTTTTTATAAAAGAAAGTTGCTATTTCTTTTACATTTTTTGTCATTTATCGACTGCTAAACGTTATAAAATTCCTTCTATTTTTCAGAAATTCAATGAACCAAAAGCCACCATCGTATGACGATGCTTGGAATGCGCCAAATCAACCATACACAGCTGTCGATCTTCCGAATCCCATTGCTCTACCGCCAATCTACAACAGCAAGCAATGCCAGTGTCAGGTAATAGAAAATCTATTTTGTTTAAGCTTTTAAAAATAGCTACAATTTCTGAGACCAGATTTTCCTTAATATTAGGTTTTTGCATAAGTCTTTACAATTTCTTTTCAAACTTTTATTTCGATAGAAAAACCATTTACTAAATTTGTTTTTTCTTAAGCTATTAAAAACGTCATTCATTCAAAGATTCAAAAGATCAAAAAGGTCTATAATTTCTCTACAAAATGACTTTTCGAGAAAGCTCAAAGCTTGGCTCAACTCGATAAAAACTCATTTTTGTGTAAAATTTTCAATTCCTGTTTTAAAGACAATCACTGAACGGATTGTTTTTAAATTTTACAGAATTATGTAATCAAATGAGCTCTATCTTTTACTTTTGCACGAAAATAGGTTTGTATTGAAGAAAGTGTCCAAATTATGACTTCAGCATTTCCATCAGAGCAGCTTTGGGTACTCGCGTTTGTGCCTTTGAAAATCCATAAAAACAACGACTTCCAAGCATTTTCCAAAACCCATTTTGCAGAGAAACAATTAAACTTTTTAATAGTTTAAATAGAAATTTTTGTGGCATTGTTTTTAGAAGCGATTTCGAAAACAATTGTAAAGACTTATTCATCAATCTAATAGTAGTGCACCGAGCCGAGTTCATGACTATTCTAAGCTTTCGCAGAAGCTCAACACTCAAATCATCGACAAGATCTCATTGTTAGCTACATTTTCCGACCCCACATCGATAGATTCTGATAAGCAGTTCTCGAGATTTCGAGGAATTTAGGCGAAGCTTATGGTGCGCTACTATTCAAGAGTATATGGAGTTTGTTGGTCTAAATTTAAGACCGAAATCGGATTCTAGAGTCTTTTAAGCTCTCATATGTAAATTTCTGGGATTTGGTTATGCATTTTGATTCCTGGCCGTTTCACAAAAGATGCGCAGTCGTCAATGTGTTAAGAGAAGTTAACTACTAGAAATTAGCGTATAAAATAAAATGATTCAAACTATGAAAATAAACTACCGTATTCTCTCTAATAGTAGTGCACCCAAGCAAGCCGAGTTGATCACTATTTTACGGTTTCTAAGTTTTTGCAGAAGCTCAACACTCAAATCCCCAACTAGATCTCATCGTCAGCTACATTTTCCGACCTCACATCGATAGGTTCTGATAAGCGGTTCTCGAGATTTCGAGGAATTTAGGCAACGCTCATTACAGAGAATGCGGTAATTTGCATTTTAAATAATACAAAATTTGAATTTAAAACCAAAAAATAAATGCTAAGTGAGAAAAGAATGATCTTAAGCTAAGCCGATCTTAAGCTAAGCCGATCCTTTCTGCCGGATTCATTCATATTATTGGAACCATATTGGAATCGTTTAATTGAATTGAACAGTTCAGTTCAATTCAATTTCAATTACCGTATTTTCTCTATTAGTAGTGCACCCTGGCGAGCCGAGTTCGTAAAGATTCTACGGTTTCCAAGCTTTTGCAGAAGCTCAACACTCTAATCCCCTACAAGAACTCATCGTTAGCTACATTTTCCGATTACACATCGATAGGTTCTGATAAGCGGTTCTCGAGATTTCGAGGAATTTAGGCGAGGCTCTGGGTGCACTACTATTGGAGGGAACACGGTAGATCAAATGTTTTTATTGACTCATTAGTTGACTCATTGACAACAGTGTGATGAATCGTTTTCTTCTTTTGAGTCTTCTTTTCAGCTCGTTTTCGGAAACACATCTCTAACGATTTTTAAACAAAAAACCTGTATCTAATGCTTTTTTGATAGATTTATTATTGAAATTCAAACTTAAAAAGAAGAATTGCAATGAGAGCCGAGATCGGGAAAAGCAATGACAATTGATTCGTCGCATTGCACTTCTCTTTATCGCAACAGTAGAGTTTTCCCATGTCCCCGGCATCGTCTTTCAAAGTCCTGGTTCCCTCTGTCTAGAACAAACTTTTATTTTCATTTTTTAAAAAACATTATTTTCTTGATTGTAAATTTGGGCAATCACTATAATTTCTACTTATTATATTTTTTTTGGACCAGTTTTTTCAAAACAAATTTCCTTCAACAAGAATCTAAAAGCGCTAAATCTTTCAAAAGCAAGATATAAATGTTGTAAACAACATTTAGAATATAAATATTGAGTTGGTGAATTGAAAACTGCGGGCTATTGTCATATGTCACAGTTTGAGCACTTTGCTCAAAAGAAACCCATTTTGGTGTCAATGGAAAAGTTGCAGAGAATCAAAAATGAAGCTTATATCCAAATTTTCAGAACGATTCAAAAACTGGTTTTCAAGAAATGCCAAATTTACGAATTTTCACAAAACTTGCAACAAAACTTGCATTTTAAGCGAAACTACTAAGTGTATCTTTTTGGAAATTTGACTACAAGCCTAATTTTTGATTCTCTACAACTTTTCTATTGACACCAAAATGGGATTCTTTTGAAGAAAGTGCTCAAACTGGGCTGACAGCTGACATCTCCAGTCCTCCATTTTTGAGTCTCAAACTTGTCTCACACACAAACCAAGATCCTACTACGAAAGAGGAATCCGCAAATTGCCTGTAAAATGGGCAGAAGTCGTCAATAATAATGGAAATTATTTGGAATGAATTCATGGTTTTATGTTGAATAAATTTTAGTTCAAAGTCCCGCAGTTTTCAATTCACCAACCTAATAGTATCAAATGGCGCTGGAGCTATCAATACGCATTTTAGTGTGTCTAAAATGGAGATGATAGTTGTTTTTGCGTTAAATAGTTAAATATTAAATAAATTGTGTCCCTCGTTGACTCTATTTATCAAAAGAAACATCTATTACTAATAAAATTCGGCAAGCATTCAAGCTTTTGATTTTCTCACGTTTTCTGGGGTAATCGATGACGCTGATCACGAATTTGATGTTTAGAACAAATGTTTTCAATTCACTTTTTGAGTTATTGACTTGTAAATAACTATAGAGAAGGTTAAGTTCGCAAAAATTTCATGCTTTTTACATGAAAATCGCGCATCTTGTATGCAAATCACTCAGAATTAATCAAAAAAATTTACCGTGCACGCGTAATCACGACCAGCGATGTCTTTTTCATCACCTCCACAGCCGCATCCCCACACAGAGATCGTTTTTTTTGAGTCCTAAACCACAAATATTTTCTTTTACTTTTTCTTTTGAAATTTATTAAATTAAACTAACAAGCGAAGGTCAAGCGGTCGAGGTGATTAAATGGCATGTTCTATATACTAAACATGTGCACTTGGTCCGGTCCTCGGTTCGGTTTTCGGTCTCGGTTCGGCCCGGACCAAGATTGGACCGAAAAATTGGGCTTTGGTCCAGCCCGAACCGAGAGCGGGCCGGCTGATACGAACCGAGTGCACATGTCTACTATATACCATTCGATGCAGAATTTCACTCTCGTTCCGAAGATGGTTTCATTTTTGCTATGCGCTATCCTAGTGTTCGCTCCCCAACGCTTAATTTTTCGGTCTGATCTCGGTCCGGACCGGACCAAAGCTCCAACTTTTCAGTCCGATCTCAGTCCAAGTGGGCAAGGTGGCCAAATGACATGTACTATAGATCAGTCAGATCTATAGTATCTATAGGAAGTCGAACCAGATAGTGTTCGCTTCCCATGCCCGCTACTATTCGGCCACCGGCACTTTTTTAAACTCCTTTGGGAAACTAACTTATCATAATTTGATCTTGAGTTCGAAAATGCCCCGTAAAAGTTTAAACTCGTATAACTTTTGATTGGGTAGCGCAGAACAAAAAATGAAACCATATTCGGAATCAGGGTGTAATTTTGCGTCGAATTGTATATAGCAAATGTCATTTGGCCAGCTTGCCCACTCGATCTCCCCTTGTAAGTTTAATTTGATTGAACGAATAGGTTTGTGTTAGAGTTTAAGCAAAAAAACAAGAAGAACAGACAAGTACCAGCCTTCAATTTCCCGGTAATCTTCGCACAATACTTGCAGCCATCCGCACAGTCGATCACCGCTTGCTAAATAAAATTGATTGATCTTGATTTTGACCGGACCGAGATCGGACCGAAAAATTGGGGCTTCGGTTCGGCGATTTGATATTCAATTTCAAATTGTTTTTGTATAGCTTACAAAACTCGTCGGTGCCTGTCCATTCAAATTCAAATCGCTATAGCATTGGAAGGCCAGGGAAACGCTGAGAAAGCCACAGAAAAGAATGAAAGCTTGCATTTTTTTTTCTGAAAAAAAACTGTTCAGGGAAAATATTGATAAGTAAAACAGTGAAACGATGAAATTTTGAAAAACGAAACTTTTGTTCTAGGGAAATGACTTAATTCCTCTAATCTGAAAGATAATGACAAGAATTATATACTAAATTTTAGACTCAACTCTTGTCCAAATGTGTCAATGATCAACTCCAATCTGGGCAACTCCAAGATCAAAATGTGAATCAAAATCATTACACTCAGCTACCGGACTCGAACCGGAGAGCTCTCACCTTCATGCCTTCCAACGCTGCAACTAGTCACCTCGCGGAAGACAGGGTTGCAATGTCGCGGTTTGATACTCCTTACAGAACCTTAAACGCCTATAGCTTTTGAAGAGCTGTAGAAAAAAGACAAGCAACATCATGATCAGTGTGAAATTCTGCGTCAAAGGGTGTATGGCTTATGCCATTTGCCTAACTTAATCCGAAACCGCATCCAATCACTAAATTTAGCTAGGATCGTGATCTAGCCCGAGGATCTGTATGATTTGTAGCTAGTCCAGGGCTTGGGCTAAGGCTTAGGCCAAGGCTTAGGCCAAGGTTTGGGCCAGGGTGTGTTCAGGTATGTGTTTGAAATTGAATTGAACAGTTCTGTCCAATCCAATTTCAATTAGATCAAATGTTTTTATTGACTCATTAGTTGACTCATTGACAACAGTGTGATGAATTGTTTTCTCCTTTTGAGTCTTCTTTTCAGTTCGTTTTCGGAAAAACATCGCGCTGAGAACGCTGAAATGAAATAGTGTGATGAAACGTTAGAAATCTGAACTCAAAAATGAACTTCAACTCAGACTGATGAACTCAGAAACTTGACAAGCTTGATGTTTTGAGTAATAGTTTTGAAGTCAGCTCACAGACTAACAACAAAAGCTGAAGTTGTCAAGTATAGAGTGCTTGTCCTTTCCAGTAATACCATTTTGGTCTCCAAATGAGCCCAGAGATGTTCGATGACGTTTAAATCCAGTGAATACGGAGCCTTGATCAGTTCAACTCGATGAGCAGCGAAAAATCCGGGTAGACGAGCCCTTCCTCCATTTGCGAGCCGAACAACCCTACCCATCAGCAGCTGACTCTTATGACATGGAGCATTATCTTGGTATAGGGCCCATCCATTCGGCATATTTGCATTGGAGAAGGGCAATAATTGATTCTCAATGATCGATTTATATCCGTGGGCGTCGAGCGCTCCGTTGATGAGCACTAGAGGACCGGACAAATCTCGTGTTATCGCACCTAAACAGAACAAACTGTAAGTCAAAATCAAGACAAACTCTTAACAAACTCCAAATTTCACTGTAGGTTTCACGTATTTGAGCTTGTAGCTTTGAGCCTGTCCAATCGGCCGTCTGATCGAATGGTGGCCGTCCGGGTAGTACATATTGATCTTGGTCTCATCGGTGAAAATAACTCGAGCCCAATCGTCAGCAGTCCAGAATTCGTAGTTCTTTGCAAAAGCCAACCTCATCCTCCGGTCCTTGGAAACCATCAAGGGCTTCTTGGCTGGCCATCTCGCATACAATCCAGCTCGAATCAAGCGCCTGTTGCCGCTCCAACGAGAGATATCCTTGTTTGAAACGGCCTTCAGCTTCTTGATAGCATGGCTCGATGTCAGATTTGGGTCTTTTTGGTGGTCCCTGATGATCGATCGAGCTTCATTTGGAGTTGTGATTGGTCGCCTGGATTTCTGTGATTTCCACCGGCTTTTGCTTTTGCTACAAGACGATTCGCGGTACTTTTCCCGACGATTCACGGTCTCATCGGTGAAAATAACTCAAGCTCAATCGTCAGCATTAATTAGCAATTTATCATATTCATTATCCAAAATCTGTTCTGAAACAATGGTACAAGAAAAATGGGCCAAGATCAAAAAGTTTCTACTTTCTTTTGTGCTTTTTCTTTAGATATTAGGTTGGCGGGAAAATAATGCGAATTTTTATTTTAAGCTTTTGGGAAAGTAATGGCAGATAAATAGAGAAAACCGCAATAGTGATAGAGACGCAGAATGTGTTTGCTTACACAATCATAATATTATTCGAAAACATTTGTTCATTTGTTATCAAAAAATGACGGAACAAAAATTCCTTATTTGAGCTACTTTACTCTATGACTTTAAGCTTGGAAAATCTGCCCGTGAATCGCATAATTCTATTTCAAAGGCCTATGGCAAAGGTAGTATTAGCGAAAGCCAATGTTATCGATGCTTTGAGCGATTTCGAAGTGGAAACGGGAACCTAGAAGATGAGCATCACGAAGGACGTCCTCGAAAGCTGGATGAGTCTCAACTTTTGCAAATTATGGAAGAAGCTCCCATTTGCACCACTCGGGAGTTGTCGGAAATGTTCAATATTCATCATAGCACCATTGAACAGCAGTTACATTTGAATGGAAAGCGAAACAGATGCGGAAAATGGGTCCCACATGAACTGACCCTCAATCTTAAAATTGCCCGTATGAACACTTGTTCAATTTTGATTCAAAAATCAAAAGCACATGATTTTAATGGCAGATAAATAGAGAAAACCGCAATAGTGATAGAGACGCAGAATGTGTTTGCTTACACAATCATAATATTATTCGAAAACATTTGGTTTGAAAATTTTATTAAAAATTTTTTTTTATTCTTTGCAAAAAAAACTTCTCTCGAGGACTGGCTCAATTTTTTTGTACCACACTTTTTGAAGTAAAAGAAAAATGCTTAATTCTAGCAAAAATCCTAGAATCATGTTGGTTGTCGATAATTTAATTAAACGAATCAACAGATTGAATTGAATTCGATCGAAAGTAATTATACAAACATGTTTTCTAATGATTTTATCATTTTGAATAGTCAACCGTTCATTATTTCTTTCATAGTTTTTGCTTTTTTCATTTTATTCTTTGAGTTAACCTTTTGTAAAATGATATTATTCGTTTCTAGGTATAAACGGATGTGGACTAGAATTTGGGTTAAGTTAAAGAGAATGGATCTCTTTTGATATCCCGCCATCTCTAACACCCCGACAACCCAACTCAACTCCTCCAACGTATTAGAGGGGAGTCTCTGTGAAATGACCGACCCAAACTGCAGTTGCATAGACCGGAAGATATGTATCTTTATTTACAGTAATATAATAAGACGGATAGATTACCAATAAGTGTAAGGGGAAGGGGGGACTCCAAATGAGAATCTCATTTGTCCTCCTAGGCGATCCCAAGAATCCTCCCAAGGATCCAATCCTTCTCGGCAATAAAAGGGATAAGCACAGGGGAGGACACATTTGCATAAGAATAGACAAATCATTCAATAATAACAATAGTAACTAAAATATCAGTTTGGCTTGGAGCTGACAATATGCAAGTGAAGGGAATGTAAAAGGATGAATCTTGAATTTAATTTGACATGCCATTAAGTCAGAAAACAAATGTACAAAATCAAAATAAAACAAAATACACATTTCACAGTTGTTAATTTGAATTTTCAGTTGAGCGGATCGAAATTGTAGGTGGAGAAAGTTCGTCAAACTCATTTTCATCACCATCATCGATCGCCACTTTATCATTTGTACCGTCATGGCCGATCGGGCGCAAAAGCATCTTTTGCTCCTTGTCTTCTAGGGGTGAAAACACAAGTTCGGCGATATTTGGATCATCCTAATCGTAAATTAATTCAGAAATTAATTGCTTTTTTCTTTTACTAACAAAGTCTAACTCTTCCAAAACATCTAGAGCTGACGGTCGATAACGGCGATCGAAACTTGTACACCTGAAATGGAGATTATTATCATTTTTCGATTAATCACTAGCTTGTCAATAACATCTTGGAATTCTGGCAGGCATCTTGGGGCAATAAGTTTTGTTATTTTCTTCGTCATGATTTCGTACATGAAGACATCTCGACTGTTTATATCAAAGTCACCATCTGGTGCATATTCGGAAAAAACAAGTCTAAAAGTCTTTGAAAAACTCAATTCATGATGATTTGTCATAAAGTTTGTCTCTATAGTTAATGGTGTCGATAGTATTGAGCGTTTTATAAATAAATCGATCAATATTCCGACGAAGATTCTACTCCAGACGATAAGCTATAGTTTTTAGTTTTAGAAATTACAAAGTGGCGCATAATCTTTGAGCGTAACTCGCAATCGAAACAGATCTTCATACTCTCTTCTTTTTGATGAAATTTAGACTGTTTTTATTGTTTAAAGTTCAAAAGCAAAACGGGGCTATGTTTGAGAGATCCAAACTTCTTTTCCTGTAAACCCTCGGCATGCTGAGTGTTTTGAATGAATTACATGATAAAAATTTCTCAAAGCATGAAAATTCACGTTTCTGAAAGACTTATAAAGAGAATCCAAGCCTAACTAGGGAATGTTGTTAACTTATTGTGGCAATGTGCCTTATATAGACAGAGGACTCGAACCCTCGCGATCCAAAAGGGCATACGCCCGGCAAACCCGCGCACTAACCACTACACCACCGAGGCCGTTGACTGAAGACAGTGCGCCGCCCTCCAGTGCGCCGCCCTCCAGTGCGCCGCCCTCCAGTGCGCCGCCCTCCAGTGCGCCGCCCTCCAGTGCGCCGCCCTCCAGTGCGCCGCCCCTCCAGTGCGCCGCCCTCCAGTGCGCCGCCCTCCAGTGCGCCGCCCTCCAGTGCGCCGCCCTCCAGTGCGCCGCCCTCCAGTGCGCCGCCCTCCAGTGCGCCGCCCTCCAGTGCGCCGCCCTCCAGTGCGCCGCCCTCCAGTGCGCCGCCCTCCAGTGCGCCGCCCTCCAGTGCGCCGCCCTCCAGTGCACTCAAAGAGACCCCAAAAACTTGTATGCCAAATATCTCGCGATAGAGAAGCGTTTGGCAAAAATTCATTGCAGATTCAGAATCAGTGTGAAAAACTGCATCAGATAGGCTATTTCCCGAGTCAAAAGCCACGATACATTCCCTAGTAAGATTTACAGCTGGCTAATTACAAGACCTTTAAAACAGTCTTTTTCCGTACACTCATTCAGGTTAATTGAGAAAGAACGTCTTTAGATCACTGTCTCCATAAGAAAATTCTTCGGGAGATATTTGATCTTGATTGTAAATGATTCACAGCGTCAAAGGAATCAAACTCAATGAAATACCAAACTTTTCGACGGCGACTGATTGGCCGCATAGCCGATTAAAATACTCAGCACTGGAGATAGTCTCCAAGACACTGGAGATGGTCTCCAAAACACTGGAGATTGTCTGCAGAAACGGAAGTTTGAATCTCTCAAACTTAGCCCCGTTTTGCTTTTGAATTAAACAATAAAAATCTAGTGTAAAAAAACAGTCTAAATTTCGTTAAAAAAAAGAAGAGAGTACGAAGATCTGTTTCGATTGCGGGAACCGTGAGCGGGTAATTATGTATCTTTTGAAAACAGTTTGCCTTCTTTCGACAAGTTCCCAGAAAACAAGTCCAATACTGTAGATGTCGTTTCGATGTGAGTCCTAGAAAATTCCATAGACAGAGTGAGGCGAAAGTTCTGTCCTTTCTAGGATTCTCTCTGAAAGCTTACTCATTGATTTTATTGCATCAGTAGACAAAATATAGTCAATCTTTTACAGAATTTAAATCTTATTACATTTTTTAAATAACTTCTTTAGATTTTGAGTTATCGCTATTCTATGCTCTTTGAATACTCCTAATCGTATGAGTCCTAAGTTTGGCAGCTTTTCGTATACTTGTGACCAGCAGAACACCCCGCCTCACGGCTGGCTGCTTCAGAAATCGTAAAAATGATTGCCAGAAACGAATTCCCTGTGTTGGAAAACCCCACCATGCAAATTTCAGCGTAAAAAGGCAAATTGCACTCATGGCACAGTGGATAGCGCGCTCGCTTCACGCGCACACGATCCGGGTTCGACCCCCGCCAGTGACCCACCCACTTTGATTTTTTGCAAAGTTTTTTTAAAAGGCACAACTACATAAAATTTCATTAGGCACGTGTTTCAGCGTTTTTTAAAATACTCAAACGGGACGCGCGGATCGAAACAGCGAGTCAGACGAACGAACGTACAGACGAACGGACAGACGGACGGACAGACGGACGGACAGACAGACGCACGGATAGACGGACGGACAGACAGACGGATAGACGGACGGACAGACGGATAGACGGACGGACAGACGGACGGACAGCCGGACGGACAGACAGACGCACGGATAGACGGACGGACAGACAGACGGATAGACGGACGGGCGGACAGACGGACGGACAGACGCACGGATAGACGGACGGACAGATGGACGGACAAACGGACAGACGGACAGACGGACGGACTGACGGACATACGCACGGACAGACGGACGGACAGAAGGACGGACAGAGTTTTAAATTCTGTGAAAATTTGGCGATCTTTTGGCTATAAACACTTATGAAATAACAACAATCAGAGAGAATTCAATTAAAGGGAATTTCAAAAAGGGACAAAACTCTCGCCACACCCTGTACATGAAGTGGCAAGCAGAGAAGTGATGCAATATGTACAGACTTTTATATTTAGTTACCAAAACCTTGCCTGAAGACTTTCATTCTTTATTTCATAAATATCCACGCCTTGAACACACTGCAAAGGACTCCAATAGCGAAGTGTTCCGCCCCAACGTGATCCCGAGCATGTCTCTTGAATGCGCTTGGCAAGTCCGAAATCTCCGATTTTCAATGCGAATTCACTGGTGATAAAAATGCTAAACGATTGAAGTAATGTTTTTTTTTCAAAATACAAACTTTGCCGGTTTTATATCTCGATGCACAAACTTGTGAACATCAAAAATGTAATGGAGAGCCTGCAATAGTTGGCGAGCCCAAAGAATAACTGTTTTCATTGAATAAACGAACTCTGGATCAGTTATTTCTGAAAAAAAAAGGAAATTTAGAGAAATTTAGTGCTTTCCTGTTAACAGAAGAGAGTAAAACAAGAAATTATTCGTACTTCTGAGCCATTATTGACTGATTTCTTGTTCATTTTTCTTTTCAGATCTAGACACTGCAAGGTATGATAGTTGAAAGAATTGTTCGGTGTTAAAAATGCACGTTAACAAAGGGAAAATCATTTTCCAATCAGAAGAAAAATTCAAAGAAACCTTTTTCTCTTCTGCCATTGACAGGAAAAAGATTTTGTTTCAAAAATTAAGCTGACTGACTCCATTCTAGGCTTCCTTTTTGGCAATATTCCATAATGATCGCTAAACGATTCGGTCCTTCCAACCATTCCATTTCGAGCAAATGCACAACATGTAAGTGTTTCATTTGCTTCAGAAATATGAATTCTTTTTCGAACTCCTCTCGTTTCGATGATGAAATTGTTTTCATAACAGCTGGGCTGAATTTTTACTTTAAACCAAATAGAAAAAATATTTAGGCATAGTGAATCTTATGAAAAAGAAACACGCGCAATTGGTCATTCAAATCGATTCTTAAGAATTTTGGTTTGAGTTGAGGCTAATCGCAAATTGGTGCTTCATTCGGGAAAAGATTTAGCTTAAAAAAGACCAGACCAGGTTTAACTTAAAAAAGACCAGACCAGGCTTAACTTAAAAAAGACCAGACCAGGCTTAACTTAAAAAAGACCAGACCAGGCTTAACCTAAAAAAGACCAGACCAGGTTTAACTTAAAAAAGACCAGACCAGGTTTAACTTAAAAAAGACCAGACCAGGTTTAACTTAAAAAAGACCAGACCAGGCTTAACTTAAAAAAGACCAGACCAGGCTTAACCTAAAAAAGACCAGACCAGGTTTAACTTAAAAAAGACCAGACCAGGCTTAACTTAAAAAAGACCAGATCAGGCTTAGTCCAAACGCCTGGCACGGGAAATTTAAAATCTAAATCTCGGTGTTTGACCAGAAGTCTTCGTAAATCCACACCAGAGATTGCTCTCTCAAATGAGATCAATTTTTATATACATTTTTTCCTGTTAACAAATTCATATTAGCTTTTTGATTAATGTAATCAAACGTAAAAAGCTCACGGATTGTATCCAATCAACTCCATGGCAATTCCATAACCTCCACTCCCAATTTTGCGTATCGGGTAAATGTTTAACGAGGATTCGGTCGGGAATAGTGTTTTCTGAATTCATTTTGGAAATACGAAGCTTTTCTTTTCCTGCTTTTTTTCCTGCTTATCTTTTCTAAAATCACACATCATTTAGGAAAATTTTATAAAAGCCTCACCTTTTTTTCTCTAAGCGGTATTGTCTCTTGTTTAGTCAAACTTCTGAATGGACTTCTAAAAGTCATTTTTTTTTGAACAAAAAGATAAGATTTTTACCTTTTTCTCCCATTTTTACTGGCCCAAAAAATTAGGAAGCCAGCACTAAAGAAAAGAAAGACGATCACAGAGGCGATTGTATAATCCGTTTTCTAAAAGATTCTTTTTTTTAGAAAAGTTTGTTACTTGTTTCTTTTTTAATATCGAAATGGGAAGAGTCAATTTTGCTAAATTTATGAATCTAATTTAACTGCTTTAACGTTAAGTAATCACAAAGTCTACTATTGGGTTGGGGAGAATGAGTCGGCGCCGAAATTTAAAGAAACTTTTTGCACCCATAAAACCTTCTTTAAATACACGTTTTGTTTCATCAAAATGGTCCACTATTTCTTTACAAAATGGCTTTTGAGAGATTCCACAAAGCTTTTCTTTTTTGGGATTTTATGGATTCCCAAACACAGCTAATCAAAATGACAAAAAGTCCGACTCATTGCTTGAACAGTTTCTTCCACATAAACCTCCTTTGGTGTTTATATAAAAAAGATAGAGCACACTCAATTACATAAGTTACCAAATTTTCAGGAAGATCCCTCCAACCGTTTACTCTAGATGACAGTTTATCGATTTTGTGAAAAAATGATCCTTTGTTGAGTTGAGGCGCTGTTTGAGTTCTCTTTTAAATATTATTTTATAGAGAATTAGTTACCCTTCTACGGATATCAAACGCATATCATTTGACAAAGTCTGCTATAAGTTTTAGAAATTTCTTTCATTTTCGGCGCCGACTCATTCTCCCCAACCCAATAGTTTACTTATTAGGTAACCACAAAGTTTATGCAAATAAGTTTTAGAAAGCCCAAGTCAACTTTTTAGAATCTATTTGTGGTTTGAATTACTAAAAAGTATACAAATTATGGTTTGAAATAAATAAAATTAAGTTCAAAGTTTATCCTAGCGAAATCTGCTGTTTTTAACAATCTTAAACTTTCAAATTTTTCTATTAGCTTTTCGATTATCTTTTATCAATTGTGGATAAACTTTAGCTTATCTAGAAGAAGTTTTAGAAGAAGAAGAAGAAGAAGAAGAAGAAGAAGAAGAGGGAAGAAGAAGAAGAAGAAGAAGAGGGAAGAAGAAGAAGAAGAAGAAGAGGAAGAAGAAGAAGAAGAAGAAGAAGAAGAAGAAGATGAAGAAGAGGAAGAAGAAGAAGAAGAAGAAGAAGATGAAGAAGAGGAAGAAGAAGAAGAAGAAGAAGAGGAGGAGGAAGAAGTCAGATAACATTTTCTTCTTAAAACAAACTTTTAGCGTCATTGCAAGTGCATCCTCTTCAATATAATCAAATTTTCCATTTGCAAGTCTGATTTTTCTAAAATAACTTTTCTAGATTTGAATGCATGTTCAAATTTTACAAAAAACAGTGGCTTTGCGCTTTTGGCTCTGCAAAAACTTTGCTTAAAAATAGTGCTAAAATGAGGCTGAAATGAGGATGCTTTAAACAAAATTTGACTTTTCTAAAATTACAATCAACATTCAAAACCTGGAAACAATGTTTCACTAATGTTTAAATAAAAAAAATTACCTCTGAAAATTTGGCGTCGGCTCGGGCAAATTCACCTCGTCCACCACATTTCCAATACAATCTTTTTGCCCATTTTTACATTTTGAAGGTCTAAAATATATTAATTTTGATTATTTTATAGTTTAAGCCATATGTTACCCTTTCTCTCTTTCCTTGGGTTTACTTTTACGATTTCCGATTCTCTTTTTCACGCTTTTTGAAAAATAACCCATGTGTTAACCTGAAAAATGTTACAGATAAATGTTTCATATAAATTTCTTGAAGGATCCTTTCAAGTATGATAAGGAAAAGTCTCCGGGACATCATCGAAAGCTCATGGTCCGCGCTGAACGGCATATGAGACGTCCGTTGTCAAATTCGGTGATGTCGCTACAGGACGTCATGGTACAAATTGGAGCTCCCGTCCACAAAAGCACTCTTTCTCGAGCCATCAAGTGTTACATCCGTTACATCAAAAAAGCAATCATGAAAAAAGCACCAAAACTGAAGCCGGCTCACAAAGAAAAAAAGGATGTCTTGAGCTCGGGATCACATCGCTATCGATTGGAAAAAAGTAAACTTTTTGCCTTGAGTTGTTAACTATTTTTACTTTGTAGGTCATCTTCAGCAATCAGAAAAAATTTAATTTGGATGATCCTGACGGCAACAAGTACTATTGGCACGATTTGGGAAAAGATCCAATGCTTTGTGGGCGTCGAAACTTCGGAGGAGGATTACTGATGATATGGGGCGCTTTCAATGTGGATGACGTTCTTGATTTAGAATTTGTGACTTGTCGCATGAACTTGAACAATTACCAGAACTTCCTTGCGGATCAACTACTTCCTTTCCTAGCACAAAATAGAGAGAAACACTATATTTTTCAACAGGATAATGCTTCAATTCATGTCAGCCATTCCACTGAAGCTTTTCTGGTACATCACAACATCGATTTTCTCGAATGGTCTGCCTGCTCACCGAACTTAAACCCAATGGAAAACTTATGGGGCATTCTCGTGAGGAATATTTATGCTAATGGAAAGACTTACGACACGATTTCGCAACTCGAAAGAGCAATTTTGCAAGCTTGGACGTCAATTCCACCACAAACGCTTCAAAACTTAGTGAACTCGATGAAAAGTCGACTACTGAAATTAAAGTATCGAGAAAAAGGGAGCATTTAGGGGCGGTCCTATCATTTTGCAACGCACCTTATTAGAGTATTTACGGTAGGTATAGGTAAAGGGGATCAGGTCTAGGAAAATTGGAATGCTATCTGAAAATTTAACCAAACGTTCGAGGTCAAAAAAGCCAACAAAGTTCATTCTTTTCAACGGAGCTGTCAAATCAATTATGAACAAAATTACTGACAGAGATATCTTTCACAAAGTGCGCACATTTGCGACAAGATTAGTGACAAAAAAAAATTTTAATGTAGGCAGAGCCGTAGCTAGAAATTTTTCTTTACTGTAATAGCCGTGCTTTATAAAATTTAAGGTGATAAGATCTAAAGCTGGTGTTTAACCAAAAATAAAATCAACAAAAACCGGTCTAAACATGAGATCTAATTTGGCTATCTAAACAGATAGCCAAATTATTTCACTAACAAAGGGCAGATCCAAAAAGCAGCCTAAAAACTGTCATGCCAAAGTTTCACTTAGTAGTCTTATGGTAATTTTAAAATCACCCATCCTTCCATTGTCGTCTTTGTCTCGAGCCGCAGCTTCGGCGGCGACGCCCACCATACCACTCACAGCCGCTCCATTCGATTCACCAACACCGCAAACCCGATGGTCGCTCCGACGCCTCAACCCACCAAGGCACCAGTACCGTTTCCCATTTCTCTGAAATTTGTTCTTAAAAATTGACAGTACTTTTCCAAAATCGGGGGAGCGAAAGGAAAATCAGGGGAGCAAATTTTGTCCCTTCGAAAACTGCATTATTTTAATTACAACGTTTTTTTAAACTTTAACGACGATGCGCTTCTACGACATTTTTGCGTTTAAGGAATCGACGGCAATCGATTATTTCGTCACCAAAGGAGTCACTCAGTCGTGGATTTGCAACTGTGTCGAATTGATGGAAGTCCGCTGAATGGGAAAGGATCTATTCCGCTGAGTATGTGACACTTGCGCACGGCGAAAGGTCCCCAAGCATTCACGAGGAATTCGAGTCGATAACTTTTTGCAACAAAGCAAGCCTCTGATTTTAACAGGAACCTAACCAGTGACTTCCAGATGAAAGCTTACCAAAAAATTGGTGTGCCCCTGAGTGAAAACAAACCCTCATTTTCCAGGATATGCTCTGCTTCTATTGTCCTTCAAACAAAATTATTTGAGAAATAATTTAAAAAATAGTATGTAATAAATGAATAAACATTTAATTAGTGATAGTAAAGCACACAGGACACGTTTTTCTTGCGTGTTTTTGAAGTTGGGCAAAAAACTGAATATAGCATCGGATTCCACGTGTCAATAGACGTTTGCCTCTCAACAGCGCCAAAATCTGCTACGGCCATTTTGTGGCATCCTCTTGTCAGAGCCCCGATGCAAATCCTATTGAACATGTATGGAATTATTTGAAGAAACAATTCCAAGGATATAAAGCAAAAAATTCTGATGATTTGTACAAGAAAAGTGGGCAAAAATTGACGCAGGGGTCATCACAAAGCTTATTGAATCAGTGCCTCGGCGAGTTGAGGCTATTATTGGTGCAAAAGGTCAAAATACAAAATACAGTCCCGGAAATACAGTTTTCGAGGGGGTAAAATTTGCTCCCCTGATTTTCCTTTCGCTCCCCCGATAATCGGACCGCTTCTCCGATATTGGAAAAGTACCAAATTGACGAACAAATTGAATCTTTCTTTAGCAGGCTCAATACTTGAAAAAATCTTTGGGTAACCCCTTCCTTTGTCGAGGAGGGAGATTTGTAAGATTCTTTTAGAACCAACCGTAAGTCGATCCGATCACTGGAAGTCGAGATATAGAGTAAAATAGAATAGTGCGCTAAAGTGCCATTTTGGCTATAGAAAAAGGCACTTTAGCGCACTACTCTTCAAGGCCTTTTTTTCTCTATGCTTTTAGAGATAGGTGAAAGCTGCACTGTTTTTGCATAAAAATCGAAACATTCGAATTTAGCTGGTTTTTGCGAACTTTTTGATCTACTTTTAAGCTTTTAAACAATGCCGATATGTGTGAATATTTGTGATTTACTGCAATTTCTGTGATTTTAATGTGATTTGCGAATAAAAGTTCATTTAGAGTATTTAGATTTTCTCAAAAGTACTTTCGTTGTGAAGCGTTTGATTTACCTGCTCAAAAAAGGACCTTGGGAAAGCTGAATTCAGTCGAAATTGAGCAAAAGATTGAATGCAAAAAGAGCTCAATTCAGTTCTTAAAGGAATTCTCAAAGATTTGTACGAATTCTTGAATTTCTTTCAATCAAAAGCGATTGTTCCCATAGATAAAATCTCATTTTTTTCTGAAATCGTGATTTTTTTTAAAATTTAACCATAAAAGAGCTAATTTATTGCACAATTGCACTTTTTATATGGTGACCAAGAATTACCGCAACGTCGTATTATGTTATGTGCCCCGTTTCACTTTTTGCTTACCTGTTTTTATGGTTTTTGTGTATTTTTCTTATTTTATGTTATGATTACTAACTTTCAATTACATTAGTATGGTTGTTATAACTTATTTTATCGTATGAACATGGTGAAGAGCCAATACCAACACCAAAACCCGACTTTCACGGCAAGAAAGTAATGCTTACTGTTTGGTGGAATTCCCAGGGCATTGTTTATTTTGAGCCGCTTAGACCTGGAGATAAGCCGTCAAACAATTTTCGAGCATTTACATCAATTAGGGAAAACCCAGGGAAATGGGTTCCTCCTCTTCTCAGCGATGCCAATAAAGCTACTCGCGCCACTATGGCGGGTATTCTTCTTCGTTTAGCAAAAAAAAATCCTGGGTTTTACGATAAAATCCTTATTTGCGATGAGAAATGGATTCAGTATGAGGGCAATGGCAACATGGAGCTATACGAAAAACGGCAATGGCTAGAACCTGGTGAAGAGCCAATACCAACACCAAAACCCGACTTTCACGGCAAGAAAGTAATGCTTACTGTCTGGTGGAATTCCCAGGGCATTGTTTATTTTGAGCTGGTTAGACCTGGAGATACAATCACGGGTGAAACGTATGCAGAACAACTATTGGGTTGGGGAGAATGAGTCGGCGCCGAAAATGAAAGAAATTTCTAAAACTTATAGCAGACTTTGTCAAATGATATGCGTTTGATATCCGTAGAAGGGTAACTAATTCTCTACAAAATAATATTTAAAAGAGAACTCAAACAGCGCCTCAACTCAACAAAGGATCATTTTTTCACAAAATCGATAAACTGTCATCTAGAGTAAACGGTTGGAGGGATCTTCCTGAAAATTTGGTAACTTATGTAATTGAGTGTGCTCTATCTTTTTTATATAAACACCAAAGGAGGTTTATGTGGAAGAAACTGTTCAAGCAATGAGTCGGACTTTTTGTCATTTTGATTAGCTGTGTTTGGGAATCCATAAAATCCCAAAAAAGAAAAGCTTTGTGGAATCTCTCAAAAGCCATTTTGTAAAGAAATAGTGGACCATTTTGATGAAACAAAACGTGTATTTAAAGAAGGTTTTATGGGTGCAAAAAGTTTCTTTAAATTTCGGCGCCGACTCATTCTCCCCAACCCAATAGAACGAGTGAACAATGAATTGCTACAAAAAGGCCTTGTGCCTTGAAACATAAAGTTCATTCAAGATAACGCTCGTTCACACGTTGCAAAGATTGTTCCGGAAAAACTCGAAGAGTTGGCTGGGAATCTCTCCCGCATCCGCCATATTCTCCGGATTACCATTTATTTCGCCCAATGCAAAATCATTTCGCTGGAAACAAGTTCAAAGATGTTCAAGAGGTCGAAAAATACAGTATTGGACAATGAAATGGTGGAAAGGAATGGTGAAAGTCCACATCGACAATTGATCCTTGAGCTCAAGTGGCAGCGTGTTCAGGCGGCTGTTCAGGCGAGCGAGATCTCAAAGCGTCTGAATGTCCCCAGAAGCCTCGTTTCTCGAACCATTCAACGTTATGAAACTAGCACAGCTTCTGATCGCCCTGGAAGAGGTGCAAAACGAACAGCGGTTACTCCAGCTAATGTCAAGAGAGTGCGCGATGTATACAAGTTTTGAAAAGATTTGATCACAAAATTTCTATGAATACATTCGTTTTATCCTTTGAAATCCATTTGAAATCCATTTTAATCCATTTTAAACTTAAACTTTTGCTTTTTTTAAAGCTCCAACGTCAAAACTTTGACCAAATTGTTCGCATTTTATTTCACTGTAACTAGAAAGTCGTTTGTATTTAAAGAATAGCTTTTCGCATTACCGGAACCGGAACGCACTACTATTGGGTTGGTGAATTGAAGACTGCCGGACTTTGAGCTAAAATTTATTCAACATAAAACCATCAATTCATTCCAAATAATTTCCATTATTATTGAGGACTTCTGCTCATTTTACAGGCAATTTGCGGATTCCTCTTTCGTAGTAGGATTTTGGTTTGTGTGTGAGACAAGTGTGAGACTCAAAAAATGGAGGACAGGAGATGTCAGCTGTCAGCCCAGTTTGAGCACTTTCTTCAAAAGAAACCCATTTTGGTGTCAATGGAAAAGTTGTAGAGAATCAAAAATTAGGCTTATAGCCAAATTTCCAAAAAGATACACTTAGTAGTTTCGCTTAAAATGCAAGTTTTGTGAAAATTTGGCATTTCTTTTGTGTAAATTTGGTATTTCTTGAGAACCAGTTTTTGAATCGTTCTGAAAATTTGGATATAAGCTTGATTTTTGATTCTCTACAACTTTTCCATTGACACCAAAATGGGTTTCTTTTGAAGAAAGTGCTCAAACGATCACATATGACAATAGCCCGCGGTTTTCAATTCAGCAACCCAATAGAAAGTCGTTTGAATTACGCAAAAAAACCAAAAAAACCGCTTTTCGCATTACCGGAACTCTTTTCTGCCCTTTGAGAGAAATTACAGCTTATTTTTTTGTTTAAATATCTTTCTTTCAATCAAAAGCGATTGTTCCCATAGATAAATTCTCATTTTTTTCTGAAAATCGTGATTTTTTTTCAAATTTAACCATAAAAGAGCTAATTTATTGCCCAATTGCAATTTATTGCCCAATTTTTTATACAGGGTGCGTCATAATTATTGCAACAAGATACTCAAGGCATTGCACACCAAGAAGTTTCACTGGAAGAAGATTTTTAAACAGAAATAGGCTTTATTTAACAGTAACAAATAAGGAAACAAGAGATCATTCGATATGATCCTTGATATCCTTCGATATGATCGCCTTTTGCCTTGATAACAGCCCTTAATCGGTTCGGATATGCCTCCACTGCGGCCCGAATGTCATCTTGAGGAGTCGCCTTCCATCCTTTGGTTTTGACCAAGGTTTTGACTTTGGTTTTGACTTCTTCAAGGTCAAAGAGCAGACATTAGCCTCTAAGATTGCCCAGATGGAAAAGTCCATCACATTGAGATCCGGTGAGTTTGGAGGCCATTCATCCTTGGTGATCACTGAGGGAAAGTTGGCCATACACCAGTCCTGAACCGTCTTCTTCGTGTGAGCGTCTCCATCTTGCATGAAGGTCCAATTTTGATTGTTATTGGCTTTACACGCCCATGACATCACATTCTTAGAAGAAGAATCGCAAGAATAAAGAAGATAGAAAGCAAAACAACAAAAAAGGGGGCAAAAAGAAATAAGAAAGCTGTTTAGAAAACGGTCTTTGAACCCTTGTTGCAATAATTATGACGCACCCTGTACAAGTTTTGAAAAGATTTGATCACAAAATTTCTATGAATACATTCGTTTTATCCTTTGAAATCCATTTTAAATCCATTTTAATCCATTTTAAACTTAAACTTTTGCTTTTTTTTAAAGCTCCAACGTCAAAACTTTGACCAAATTGTTCGCATTTTATTTCACTGTAACTAGAAAGTCGTTTGTATTTAAAGAATCGCTTTTCGCATTACCGGAACTCTTTTCTGCCCTTTGAGGGAAATTACAGCTTATTTTTTTGTTTAAATACTCAATTAGATTTCACTGCCAGAAAGGTCAACTGAAATCAATTTGGAAAAGTTTTCAATTACAACCAAGAAAATAGTTTTCTTTGATTTTTCTATGTCTACAGTTTTGCTTTTAATCTAATTAGCAATTCGTTTTTGAACTTTTGCTTTAAACTTTGTTCGAATTCAATGCATTTACTTGGATTTTATCAAAGATTTTGTGGAAACAATCATTTTTTTTGAACTTTTCACATCTTTTAGCAAAATAAGCTAATATTAGGTGTGTGAAAAAGTAATCCACGTTTTTAACGTTTAAATATAATAGACCATAAGTTTCGTTAAATAAAATTCATGGCATTCAAGCGGCAATAAAATTCATGGCATTCAAGCGGCAATAAAATTCATGGCATTCAAGCGGCAATAAAATTCATGGCATTCAAGGGGCAATAAAATTCATGGCATTCAAGCGGCAATAAAATTCATGGCATTCAAGCGGCAATAAAATTCATGGCATTCAAGCGGCAATAAAATTCATGGCATTCAAGGGGCAATAAAATTCATGGCATTCAAGCGGCAATAAAATTCATGGCATTCAGCATTACGGTTGATCCATCACAATTTAATGTAAGACCTATTTCTGAAGAGGTTGAACGAGGGTTTTCGAGAAGACAGCGTCTTATTTGGTCATCAGAACAAGGCGAACGAACGAACAGGTCATCTCAGGGCGACCGCCACGTGGTTCATCTTCTAGGCTTTCATTACCACCTTTGAATCGTCGGAACCAAAACCTAGCGGTATCATCAATAACGGCGTCTTCGCCAAACGCATTCCGAATTCGACGTGCAGCCTCCGCAGCTTTCAACTCATTTTTGAACTCATAAAGCAAATTTGACCGAATAACGATACTTGTGTATACCATTTTCAAACTAAAATGAAAGTAGTTTATTGTCGTCCTTTTAACAAAATAAATATATCATTCGAAAGAGGAAAAAATAAGCTTTTAAACGATATATATATCGTTCACAAAAAATTAAAAATTGTTTAGATATATTTATTTAAACAAAATAAAAATAAAAAACGTGGATTACTTTTTCACACACCTAATAGTTTAGTTTTTTATAAAAGAAAGCTGCTATTTCTTTTACATTTTTTGTCATTCTGCTCATTCTGTCAACTGCTAAACCTTTTTCATTACAAAGTTGCTTCTATTTTTCAGAAATTCAATGAACCAAAAGCCACCATCATACGATGATGCTTGGAATGCGCCAAATCAACCATACACAGCTGTCGATCTTCCGAATCCCACTGCTCTACCGCCAATCTACAACAGCAAGCAATGCCAGTGTCAGGTAATAGAAAATCTATTTTATTTAAGCTTTTAGAAATAGTTACAATTTCTGATACCAGATTTGGGAAAATATTAGGTTTTTGCATAAGTCTTTTCAAAGACTTATGCACAATTTCTTTTCAAACTTTTATTTCCATAGAAAAACTATTTACCAAATTTGTTGCGTCTTAAGCTAGAGCGTCTTCAGCTAGAGCGTCTTCAGCTAGAGCGTCTTCAGCTAGAGCGTCTTAAGCTAGAGCGTCCTAAGCTAGAGCGTCCTAAGCTAGAGCGTCCTAAGCTAGAGCGTCCTAAGCTAGAGCGTCCTAAGCTAGAGCGTCCTAAGCTAGAGCGTCTTAAGCTAGAGCGTCTTAAGCTAGAGCGTCCTAAGCTAGAGCGTCCTAAGCTAGAGCGTCCTAAGCTAGAGCGTCCTAAGCTAGAGCGTCCTAAGCTAGAGCGTCCTAAGCTAGAGCGTCCTAAGCTAGAGCGTCCTAAGCTAGAGCGTCCTAAGCTAGAGCGTCTTAAGCTAGAGCGTCTTAAGCTAGAGCGTCTTAAGCTAGAGCGTCTTAAGCTAGAGCGTCTTAAGCTAGAGCGTCTTAAGCTAGAGCGTCTTAAGCTCTTAAGCTAGAGCGTCTTAAGCTAGAGCGTCTTAAGCTAGAGCGTCTTAAGCTAGAGCGTCTTAAGCTAGAGCGTCTTAAGCTAGAGCGTCTTAAGCTAGAGCGTCTTAAGCTAGAGCGTCTTAAGCTAGAGCGTCTTAAGCTAGAGCGTCTTAAGCTAGAGCGTCTTAAGCTAGAGCGTCTTAAGCTAGAGCGTCTTAAGCTAGAGCGTCTTAAGCTAGAGCGTCTTAAGCTAGAGCGTCTTAAGCTAGAGCGTCTTAAGCTAGAGCGTCTTAAGCTAGAGCGTCTTAAGCTATTCATTCAAAGATTAAAAAGATCAAAAAGGTCTATAATTTCTCTACAAAATGACTTTTGAGAGAAAGCTCAAAACTTGCCTCAACTCGATAAAAACTCATTTTTGTTTAAAATTTTCAACTCCTGTTTTAAAGACAACCACTAAACGAATCGTTTTTAAATTTTACAGACTTATGTAATCAAATGAGCTCTATCTTTTTTACTTTTGCACAAAAATAGGTTTGTATTGAAGAAAGTGTCCAAATTACGACTTCAGCATTAGAGCAGTTTTGGGTACTCGCCTTTGCGCCTTTGAAAATCCACGAAAACAACGACTTCCGAGCATTTTCCAAAACCCATTTTGCAGAGAAACAATCAAGCTTTTCAATAGTTTAAATAGAAATTTTTGTGGCAATTTTTTTAGAAGTGATTTCGAAAAAAATTGTAAAGACTTATGCATCAACCGAGCCGAGCCGAGTTGATGACTATTTTACGGTTTCCAAGTTTTCCCAGAAGCTCAACACTCAAATCCCCCACTAGATCTCATCGTCAGCTACATTTTCCGACCCCACATCGATAGGTTCTGATAAGCGGTTATTGAGATTTCGAGGAATTTAGGCGATGCTTACAATTATGCTTACAATGCTTACATTACAATGCTAATATTAGCGAAAATACGGTATTCTATTCATGACTAAAAAACGACTGATCTTTGCATTTCTTTTTCAGAAAAAACGGCTCTCTTGTGGACGCAGAGCTTTCTTTGGAGTCATTTGTTTTGTGGCGTTCTTTGCTCTTGCGGGATTAATCGGATGGGGCATCAATTTGTATATGAAAAGCCAAGAACGGTGAGTTTTATCTATACAGATTTCTATGATAATTTGAATGTACAAAGAGCTTTCTTTGGAGTCATTTGTTTTGTGGAACACTGGAGCACAGTTATATTAATAAATTTAATTAAAGAGACGATTCAGTCTACTAGAGTCTACTAGAGTCTACTAGAGTCTACTAGAGTCTACTAGAGTCTACTAGAGTCTACTAAAGTCTACTAGAGTCTACTAGAGTCTACTAGAGTCTACTAGAGTCTACTAGAGTCTACTAGAGTCTACTAGAGTCTACTAGAGTCTACTAGAGTCTACTAGAGTCTACTAGAGTCTACTAGAGTCTACTAGAGTCTACTAGATTCAGTTTACAGCCTTGTTCGACTGAATATCTTTTAATTAATTTCAGATATTGATCTAAAGTCTACCGGTTGATGAGAAATTCCTTTCATGAAACGGATTTTCTACGAAATTCCCCATTTTGCACACATTTCCTACGTACTTTTGATGATTTTTGGTGTTTTTTTTCAAGATTTTTGGTGTTTTCTTGATGATTTCTCAGAATTTCATAAGATTTTTATTTCTTTTTATATTTGGAACGAAATTTAGCCCGCATTGACGTGTTATTTTCTAATTGGAACAATTTTCTCACCGATCTTCTTATGAAATTTCTTTTTTTCTAAATCTCTACAAATTACGCACTATTTTTAGGCCTATTTCAAGAGTTTTTACTTCATTAATCTCATTGTTGTTGAGAAAATAAAGTTTCTGTTTGTTCTTTTTTGATTTTAACGTTCTAACTTTGTAATTTGTTACTAATTGTAGTGATTATTGTTGGTTATTATTAAGATTATTATTAAGATCAATAGAATCAGCTCAATTGGCTTTTCATGTTCTCAGTTTTGGCTTGTTCTTTGTTGTGTGTTCATTTGTAAACAAGAAGAAATCCCTAGAAAGCCAAAAAGTCAGAAAGTCAGAAAGCGTGCGTTTCTAAACCAAATCCAAATCATAAAGTACATCTTTTACTTATTAGTTTTTACCTTTACTTTCCCTTGATTCTTTCTCACTTTTTTTCCATTACAAAGTAATACTTTTTCAATTTCATTTCAGCTGGTCAGCAGAAAAGGAATGAAGCTGACATAGCTGACATAGCTGGCATAGCTGACATAGCTGACATAGCTGACATAGCTGGCATAGCTGACATAGCTGACATAGCTGGCATAGCTGGCATAGCTGACATAGCTGACATAGCTGACATAGCTGACATAGCTGACATAGCTGACATAGCTGACATAGCTGACATAGCAAATAGGTTAAAGATCAATAGAATCAGCTCAATTGGCTTTTCAGATCTTTATTTCGTCCAGAATTCTTTTTCTTGTCTTGACTAAAGTATTTCTGTAGTGATTATTGTTGGTTTAGATATAATCTTTATTACAGCGATAATAGTTGGTTCAGTGGTTTGAGATTGGGAGAGTAGAGGCACTCCACGGCACACACCCAGCTCGTTCACATTGCTTTGATACGGAACTCAGGCGTTGGTCTCGTCTTGCACACAATGGAGTTGAACGGATAGCTCGCATCTCGCATCTCGCATCTCGCGATTAAATCTCGCACAATAGGCCTTCGTCCACATAGGTGTCTAGCTGGCCATTTCCATACGTGGCAATCTCGATCACGAGATCGTCACGACACTAATGTAAACGCACTCTTTCTGATGTATTTAATAAATCAAATATCAAATAAACCGCCTTTTATGAAGAGTTATTTGATGTCTCTTCATTCTCATCAAATCAAATCAAATCTCTGTCTCACATAATGTTGTCGTGCCAATAGATTGTGTGCCAGAAGATGAAGATAATGAAAATGTATGCATTTCGATTAGGTTGTTCAGAATTCTTCAATTTCCCATTGTTTTAAGTCGATTTCGATTCACTTACAAGCAAATTCGAGAGTGCAAACCTATAAAAACCTCCACGAAGCGATTGGATGAATGAATTTCTCTGAAAACTTGGCTATTGACCAAACTTTTTATGCTCTATCTTTTATCTATTGATAGCAAGATAGATTTCTTTGAGCTAAAGTGTCTTAGCATCATCAAGTCGTTGCTCTTTTTGACTACTCGGTTCCGATTTGGTTCTAATTAGGTTTTAATTAGGTTTTGATTAGGTTCTGATTAGGTTCCGATTGGGTTCTGATTAGGTTCTGATTTGGTTCTAATTAGGTTCTAATTAGGGTCTAATTAGGTTTTAATTAGGTTCCGATTAGGTTCTGATTAGGTTCTGATTGGGTTCTAATTAGGGTCTAATTAGGTTTTGATTAGGTTCTGTTTGTGTTCTGATTGGGTTCTGATTGGGTTTCTATTTGGTTCCGATTTGGTTCCGATTTGGCTCTAATTTGGCTCTAATTTGGCTCTAATTTGGTTCTAATTGTGTTCTGATTAGGTTCTGATTATGTTCTGATTGGATTCTGATTTGGTTATGATTTGGTTATAATTAGGTTCTGATTGGGTTCCGACTAAGTCTCGACTTCATGCTCCCAAAAAAAGCAAAGGCATAAGACATTTGTAAACCCGTTCTAATGTTATTTTCTAGAAAAATAACTGGCTTTTCTAATGAAACAAACCAGAGGTCAATTGGTGGATTTGTTGATTTGTTGGAAGTACGAAAGGAAACGAAAAGACTTTCCAGCCTAATAAAAGTACAGCACCTAGGCCAAAGTATCCCAATACCGCAAAGAAGCTGTTTTATCGAACACAATTAAAATACAGTACCAGGACTATACTGTGCCATCACCCATGAAATTCTAGAATCTTTCCTCTTTTACAAATCCTCCACTTGAGGATTTGTAGCTGACCGCCCTTGGGCTCAGCTTCAGGCCCTAGGTTCAAGCTATGACTTAGGCTATGGCTCAGGCTTATCTGGTTCAAACTCAGGCTCAGGCTTATCTGGTTCAAACTCAGGCTCAGGCTTATCTGGTTCAAACTCAGGCTCAGGCTTATCTGGTTCAAACTCAGGCTCAGGCTTATCTGGTTCAAACTCAGGCTCAGGCTTATCTGGTTCAAACTCCGGCTCAGGATTATCTGGTTCAAACTCAGGCTCAGGCTTATCTGGTTCAAACTCAGGCTCAGGGCTCAGACTCCTTCAACAACCACTCCATTTTCACAATTCGAAAACTATTTCCCGTTGATTCGAATGAATCCAGGGAAATAAAAGATCAATAAATTAACCAATGAAATCTGTTAAATCTTAGAATTGCCAAAATTTCCTACAAATCCTTCGAGTGCTTTGTTTTTCACTAAAAAGATTACGCAAACAATGAAAACAATGAAATCAACTCAAAAACACCCATCATTGATAAGCTCAGATATTTCTATTTGAAAGATTGCAAATTTTCTGTATTCTTTCTTTTCAAAATTTAAAATCATGTCTAAAATTGGTCCTGAGATTTCGAAAGCGTTCACTGAGCCCGGACAATGCTCACAATGTGGAAATCAACCGATTTCATCAGTTTCCGATTGTCGAGTGGAAAGTTGCGAACGGGAAAGAACGGTGAGTTCGTGAAATTTGTTGGAATACCCTTTTGGCACAAAATGAATAGGACCAATTGATTCCCCGATCGAGAAAACCACCGGATACAAATTTACAGCTGAGGATCTTCTTTTAAAAAAAGAAAATTAGCTACCGGATTCGATCCAGATTCGATTCAATTCGATTCGATCTAGGCTCTCCTTAAGGCCTTTCCTTAAGGCCTCTCCTCCAGGCCTCTCCTCCAGGCCTCTCTTCCAGGCCTCTCCTTGAGGCCTCGCCTTACCTCCTAACTCACTGCCACTCGGCCACCGTTCCAACCGGTCAGTTCGCGGAAGAATGGGCTCTAAGACCGCGGTTTAATTTTTGAAACTCTTTATAAAACCTGACTAACAAAACTTTAGACGCATATAACTTTTGATAGAGTACTCCATAGCAAAAAAGAAAAGCAGATTCGGAATCAGCGTAAAATTCTGCGTCGAATGGTCTATATCTCATGTCCTTTGACCAGCAGATTTCCTTGTTAAACAGCAGCTAAACATTGCTGAATTCTAATCCGAGAGTTTTGTCTCTTTTCTCGATTTTCTCAGGATTAGTTAGACCAATCAATCTCTAATTGATATCATTCGAAAGCCTAGAGTGTCCTCTGTAAAACTCTATTAGAAATTAAAATTAATATAATCTCTACATAGAGTTATCGTCTTTTAAAGCGTGTCTATTCGTTCATTCATCCTGAAGCTTTAATATCTTAAAAGATTTTTGTTTAGAGCTCAATCTTGCATCGAATCCTCAAACACTGGATTGTTGTTCTCATTGTTTTATTGCTTTTTGTGTTTTTTGTATTTCTACTTCTAATTGAGTTGCTAATCGTTATGAAATAGATTTATTTTAAATAAATTCATTCCATTAAACATCAAAACATCGAAAATCGGATTCATGAGCTTTTGGGGCAAATAAAAGGACAAGGGCAATTGTAATTGTCACCGGAAGGATGATCAAAATCAAGGCGCTCACTCCGCAGCACAATTTTCTTGAAGAAGTCCACTAAAGTTTTGATGTTAAAGTTGTTTTAGCTCAGCTTTTTCTTTGTGAAGAATACTGTAGCTATTCAGCGAACTACTGTAGCTGCAAATTGGTTTTTGTAGCGCGTTATGGTAGCTGTAATGGGTGACTGTAAAAGGGTTAAATCATCTTATTATCGGAAATCATTGTAACTACCGTAAATGCTGTAATAGTACCCCATTCCCCTCGTACAGTCGCGTAGTCGCAAAGGTTTTTTAGTATTTGCAAAGCACCCGTACTTTCAAAAAATGCGTCTTTGGTATCAAAAAATAGCCCTGAATTTCAGCTATTTTTTGATACCTATTGTAGCATTGTAGCATAAACCAGTGTCGAGAAAAACTCGTTCAAAGCTAGACTACGCAACACTCCGCACCGTCATTATGGAGATGGGGTACTATTACAGTCCATTTAGAGTTACAGTAATCCATTTAGAGTTACAGTAATCCATTACAGCTATAACCCATTTTCGGCTACAGTAATTAGCTGAATAGCCAGAGAATTCCAGTTTCAATAAATCAAATCAATAACACAGTAAATCAATTCTAGCTACCGTTTTGACTTGTAAACTAGTATATTGTTACAATGGCTATAGCGCCAGACCTCTTCACTAACCCAGCTACAGTAGTCCATTTAACTACACCAATCCAGCATCTTTTTATAATAGCTACACAGCTCATTTCCAGCTACAGAAAGGAAAAACATGATTTTAAACAGTATTAGCTTTTAAATAAAGTGGTAAATTTGAAAAATTGTCTCATCTTTTGTTTACAATGTTTCGAAAACATTTTCACGACAAAAACATGAAAATTTTTGAGACAATGATA